GAAAAACAAGTTGGTAAAAAATCATCTACTGGCTCTTTTCTAGCATGGCTTCTTCTTCTGACCACTTCTTTCAGACTTTCTCTCGAGGATGATTTACCAGAGAAAGGTTTCTGCATTGCAATAATGAGATATTGATCTGAGCCTTAAATCTGTGTGTGCAGTGATGTGATTATCAGTGCATGGGCGCAGAAGCTGCGAAGGTTTCATAAATGCATGTGATGTGTCTTTATGAGTCTTTAAGGTCAGATCTGCTGCACTCCAACTGTTCATTGATTGAATTTAGCATCCTCAAAAGGCAGTAGATCATGAACGATTCACAGAGACCCAAAAATAACAACAGAAAACAGTTCTGCTGGGAACTCCTAGCACTGGGCTCTGTACTATGAGTATTCGGTAAATGGTGTTTCTTTAGCACTGATATTTGCTTCTTTGTTTTGGCTCCTTTACTAACACAGTGCATTCTTCTATTAATATTTTAGATGAAGTGGCCGTGCTTATAGTTATTTTCAGCATTTGACTCATAAGATGACAGAAGCAGAGATTGCAGAGAAGTATACAAACATTGCTAACAAGCCCGTTACTAGGAATGTAAGAAAATATTGATATAGCTATATATTCCTGCGATATTATATCGATGTTCAAAAGCTGTGTGTTGATTTTTTTGGAAGAATTTATGTGCAAACATTTGTGTATTTTCTTTTCTTTTGCTGCAAATCAAATGCCGTCCGCTAGTCAGCAGTAGTGTGCAGTGGAGTTTGTTTCCACCACTGAAATGTAAATGCCTCTATTATGGTTCAGATACCTCATGTTAATCATGTTAAGTATCAGTTTGGACCATTTATCGAATTTCCCTACAATAATTTTAGTCTAAAAAAATCGCCAATATTGTCGACTGAATGTATCGCAATATATCGTGATATATCGTATCGTCTCCCCTGTATCGTGATAAGTATCGTATCACCAGAATTTCACCAATACACATCCCTACCCGTTACCTATAAGCACCTGCACACAACTCCACAAACAGATTCAACTCACAAAAATACCATTTTAATACTAATCTTATTTTAAGCGGAATGGGGAGTTTTCCTACTTTCAGAAATTATGATTTTTTTAGAAACCCATAAAAGTGATAGTTCTACCCTGTACTTTGATATAACGTAGGCAACACATCAGTATTTTGTTAGAATATGGAACATTTTAATAAAAAGATATATTTATAGAATTATACCGCCGCATGGCGTTCAGAGGTGTGCAGAATGAATGTACAGTTCCTCCTATAAAGACTATATTAAAAAAGATAAATAATCAAATGTTTATTCTGTCGGGCATGTAACGTCCAGCAATGGTCAGTTTTTAGGTACAGTTTGACCATTCAACATCTGGTCAAAAAGGAGACACAAGACTGCATGTGTTCCTTTTAAATTGGCCTGCCTTCATCCCATCAGCTCAGAGCCTCTGCAGCTCTGAACACAGATAACGAATTGTCAACAATAACGTTCTCTCCCCAAGGTTCAAGCTTTCCTTATCGTCTTTCAGGTCTTCATGCCGCCATATAAGGAACACTCCAGCTCGGATCAGTTGCTAAATCAAGAATGATTTCCTAAATCAAATATGAACTCCACTGCAACTTATAAGCTAGATAATCATTAAATAAACGTTTGTTTATTGCCACTAATGAAATGCTTCATTAATCTGTGCTCAATGACTGAAGTGTGAAATGAATGTTATTTTTTGACTACTATGATTGAAAAGGGTTTCAGCATGTTAATATGGCAAGGTCATCCCCACTTGCACTCACACAAGAACAAGAAAGGTTAAGTTAAAGAGCAAGTCACCCACTACAAGAAACTTACTTCACTCTAGGGCTGCAGCTATCGGATATTTTTGTAATCGAGTACTCTATCGAATCTTTTATCGATTAATCGAGTACTCTAATTACTCTTTTGCATTTTTAAACCATTATATCAAATAGCAAGTTATAAAATATGAAAGACCTCTTGAAATGAGAAAGCAATTGCCAGTTATTTTTCAAGTTTTATTCAAAATTAGTTTTCAAAACTTCAGCACTTCAACTTTACTTCACAGTAAACATATGCGAGCGGCTGCGGCCCAAACAGCACCAGAACCGCTCACGGCGCATGCGCAAACATGGCTCGCCAGCTGTTTCCCTATTAACACACGTCCGTTTTAATTTCTACACTTTTTTTGTCTCACACTAACAAGGATTGTCGAGAAAGCATGTTTGCCGTGGTTATGTCTAATTATACTGATCACAAAACATTCATTTACTTTCTTTCGTTTTCCTCCACCACTCATAAATACCCGTGTCCTCCTGCAGCAATCCTGAGGGACAACGGACATCAGTAACAACACAGTAAAAAGTCCAACATGCTGTGTAAAAACTGCTATTTTTTAGCACATTTTAAGTCTGACGTGTTGCTACCAGACGTACGGTGTGAGCTGAAACTGAGTGCTACAAATGAAAAAGTTGCACAGTGTCTGCAGAATATATAGAAATACAGGCTAAAATGCATTATCTTGTAGAGGCTCCGAGTCCGCTTGCAGAAGAGACATTTACATGTGGATGTTTCCTGGTCAGGTGCTGCAGCTTGGAGGATGTGGTGTTGTGGTAGGCTAAATCCATTTTACAGTTTTTAATTACACTGGAGTACGTTTTCTGCCTTACGACGTGAAAAATGGTCCCACACCTTTGACATTTTCTGTCTTTTTCGCGCTCCACCGGGGTCCACGTTGTCCGCCATGGCTTAAGAGAAAGTTAAGTTACGTTCGCTACTCGCGTGTGCATTCAGTGCAGTGTGTATGTGCGTCACTTATTTTGGTCCGGGTGAAACATGACCCCGGGCGATTGCAAAGCCATGAATTAATTAAACATGAATTAAACTAAGCTTCGAGGCAGATAATTTCACTCGAGGATTTTTTGTACTCGAATTATTCGAGGTACTCGAGGAATCGTTTCAGCCCTACTTCACTCCCTCTTCCTGTTTTTAAAATGCAACAAATGATGTTGCCTAGCAGACCGAGAGGGCGGAGCCACTAACAAATATACACACACACAGGCTCACAACGTCATTGTGACATCATAATGTACCAGTTTACATCATAGCATACCTCTTAGCCAATAGCGGTGGCAGATTTAAATTCAACTGCAGTGCAGAGTTTTTACCTGACAGTTTTAGGCAGAAAATTGAAATTTTAACTAAAATGTGCAAAACTATTGACTACACATGTCTGCAGCATGATTAGACACGCATTTATATAGTTTATCAGGAAAAAAAAAGCTGATTTGGGGGTGACTTGCTCTTTAAACTCCTGACACATTAATAGTCTTTTACCCCAGTCAGAGCCTCCGTATCAAAGAAGGCGTGTTTCTGAGTTGTCTTGGTAACATTTCTCAAACTTGTCAACCTCTGGTTGGCTACACAAATCATAACATGAGAACATTAAAACTGGATCACTCTCGGGTGATTCCTCAGTTATAGAGAAAGCTTCAGACCGGCCAGCTGAAGCAAAACCCTCTTTAATCATCAAAGCTTTTGACACGTTGTCAAAATCTTTTTGCACCTGCGAAGCTGATACAGCAACAGTTCCTGCAGAACAAGCTGATATTGTGTAGACTCCTTAAGAGTCCCAGACGCGCGGTTCCATCCGTCTGTTGTGACCTGGAGACAACTCTAATACCGGTTTAGTGGGACCACAGTTTCTTCTACGGACCTCGGTGCCTGGAAGTCCGAGGACTTCGGCATTCCGGATCTATCACGAGGGTCTTCGAGTGGGTATGTAGACATGACAGATAGCATCTGATGTGTTTTGATAATAATCAGCTTCATAGCTTAGCGCAACCCAAATTCTTTTACATCCAGAACTCAGCTCTCCTAGATACACAAGTTCTGACTAACACCGCATTCACACATAGGTTTCATTCATCATATCTAGTTCCATCCATCACAGTAAATATTAGTAAACTTGTCATGTTTTAATTGTTGGTAAAATAAATTCTTACTCTTCTAAACCTGACTCTTTTCTGAATCAAAACGAAGTGTTTACAATCCCCTAATAAACAAAGAATCCTAGAACCTTCTGATAAACACACAAAGACCAAGCCGGGTTGATATTCTATATTTAGATAAGAGTATCACAGCTTATCGGTCATAAGTAGAGGTAATATATATATATATATATATATATATATATATATATATATATATATATATATAGCTCTTAAAGCACTCAATTTCCTAAACCCTACAACCCTACAGGCACGACACTGTGTTTATGTTTACATCTACCAGCCATTAGAGGGCACTGTTGCGCTAAAACGTCCACTCAGCAATGCAAGGTTGGGACTGTGTAAAATGGCAGACTTGACAAGCAGCTGATTTTGAGCCCAGAAGATGTTCCAATGGTAAATTTTGTTGTAAAATAAAGTTATTAGTAGAAATTTGTCCTTATCCTGTACAATTTGTCTCTGAACATTGTGCTGGAACGGGTCAGCAGTGAACCAACATCCCAGCAACTGGAAAATTTGTTCTCTGAACACCAGAGTGTTTGTGTTCCATAGTCAACCTTTAACTGTGTATTACTGTTATTATTGTTGCACTTATAGTAGCATAAGCATATTAATCATTTTGGTTTCAGGTGGTCCTCCAAAACGCTGAACTGTTGGTGTAAACCTTTTATTGTAAAGTGCTTTGGGAAATGTAAAAATCCTAAAGCTGCGACAAAGAGAAAAGGTCAAATAACATTCTGGTATTTAGAGTGATATCTGCTTCAGATAGAAGCGTGTAATATACATTTAAAGTCTGTCAATTTATAGAAGTCCTGAAAAATATGAAACAACAGCTGAAAGCCTGATCTGGGAAACCTTTACCTTTACGGATATGAGGGATGGGATCCCTGGCAAGCTGCGGGATGAATTACGGTTTAGGAAGTCTGTAGTGCATCCCACTCATGGGATTTCTTGTAGATTAAACCTTTACCTGAGCATGAGATTCATTAGCTGAAGCCCTTCTCCTTTGAGGAAGCGATCCCGATTAGAGGGCAGCATGAGGCAGGAACACAGAGCATCAAACAGATTTTCCATCATCTCCTGCTCCTCAGCCGTGTTCGGATTGTGACGTTTGAACACCTGAGAGAAAAGGACAAGGAGTGGGAAGCACTTAGAAAAAAGATGACATGAAGGATTATACCTTTGTCTACTAATTTAGCATCTAATTATGAAATAAAGCTAATTCCAAATAAAAGCCACACTAAACCAAACATTCATCAGTGGTGGGGTTGCTTGCACAGCTTCACGTTAGACGAAATGCGTTGCAGGAGAACAGGCGCCGGGCGTGTTTAGAGCTTAGAAATAAGTTAAATGTTTGAACCACGGATGTGCAATATTATTGGTTTATTATTAATATCGACAGATATTGGCATAAAAAATGTAATACCGGACAATATTGGTATCGGTTTTGACCCAACCTTTTAACTCGTTAACTGCCAGCCGTTTCCTGATCAGAAAAGCCTTTCGCTGCCAGCGGTTTTCAGCATTTTCACAGTTTTTTTAAGAGTCACATAACGTTGCGCGCTAGGATGATGTCAATGCGAAAACTACCAAAACAAAGAGGAGACTCACTTCTTACATCAGGAAGAATCCACGCGTTTCGAGCGTTATCCGTTCTTTCATAATCCGTTGTTGAATTGTGATCGGCAGAAGCTTTTCCGGTTCGCGCCTCACTTTTTTTACAGCAACGTCCGAAAACGATCTCCTAACACATGGATTTTCTGCTTCCTGATCACATGACGTGTGATGTACGCGAATGAAGATCAGCTTTAGAGCTGAGATGTTCGTTCTCATGGTGCGGGGGCTCGTTCCGACGCCCACACAGTAAATAAATGCAAATGGTGACTTTAGTCGTCATTGGCGGTGAATGAGTTAATAACATCCACATATTATACATCAAATTCTTCAGCTACTTATTCTCTCTCTCAAAATGTTAAAATATGACAGATCTGAGGTAAGGTTATTGACATATTTTAGTTTTTTTGACACAATTTGAGAAGTAGAAATTTGCCCTGTGTGGTGAACGTACACCGTCCTGCACCTGGCAATGTGTAGCTAGACGGCTAACAAACGACTAATGGGAGATATGTGATGTTAGTAACCTAAAATATTTCAGTTTTTCTTTTTTATGAGGGAGGGGCATAAAATTAATCAGTATGTTTAAATTGGTATTGGAAATTAAGAGTCAGACAATATCGGTGTGTCTGATATTGGTAAAAAAACAAAAAGAAAATATCGAGCATCCCTAGTTTGAATACAAGTGAGAGAAAAAAATAAAAGTTCTTACAGATAACTGCTGCAGTAGCACATCAATACCATCCATTTCACCCAGCAGTTCTCTGGTACCTGTAAAGAAAGAGAAAATAAAAAGACAACAAGGTGAATGAAAAGGAGGCAGAAATGAGTTCACAAGATTCCGATTATAAAAATGAGCATTTAAACAAAAATGATTTGTGCTAAACCTAAATCAATTACTTTAACAAAATAATGACTAAGGAAATAAGATGGGACAATTTAAAGGCATCGGGAGCTTCCACACTAACGCCTCTGCTGTTTTATATGATATCTTTTAGATTTTTGTTTTTATTGAAGTCTAATAAAAATAAGTAGATGCAAATTAGGACATCAGGAATGTTGCCTATGTTGTTATAATTTCCCATTTTATGTGGCTATATATATATATATATATATATATATTAAACAGGATAGTACTCAAGACAGCATGTGTCCTTGTTTTGGCAAAACATAGTTTTGTATAAATTTTTCATTTTGAAATGCAAAAGAGAGAGAGAGTTATAATGGAGGCAGCACAAGAGAAGAGTGGGGAAATAGGTGCGAAATGAGAAATGACTTCAGCTGCATACCAATGTGATTTGTGCCATTAATGAGAACTAGCCCAAGGCCCTGGTCGTCCTGTGGCTCTGATTTTACTGCCTTTCTTTTTTGTGAGGGAGGGAAAGGATGAAGACGACTGCACATAAACCAACAGAGATGGCGTGGAAAGCAACATAAAAAGGAGGAACATTTTAGAGAGGGAGAGGACGACAAGGAAAATATTTTAACAAGTTCAATGAGAGAAATGTAACTAAGACAGAATGGAGGGTTGAAGTCAATTTAGGGTGAACAGGCGGAAAAAAGATGGAAGATAAATAAATAATTTAGAACACGTCAACAATTTACTGAGATACACTTACTGTCATTATTTTGCAGCAGAATGGCTAGAATTTCACTGCAGTACAGCTTGTTAGCATCAAACGGCATCTTTGCCTGAGAGGGAAGGAGAGCGAAGTCTAATTACCACTCCTCTTGAGAAACTCTGTTCTCCAGAGGATTACAAAATCACTATGTATTCTACAGGAAAATCTGCATTTTCTAACCTCAAGCAGAGACCTGCTTTATGCAGATTCTGTCTCACACAGTGTATAATACTGCACATCATTTCTGAACATATTTATAACCTCATTTATTTTATTCAAAACAACCCAAAAGAGGGAAAACACAGAAATTAATTCCCGCAGATGGTGTGATTCCAAACTAAACCAAACGGTTTTTTTTTAGATAAATATGAAACTAGATTTTTGTTTTTGTTACAGACAAACCTACAGTAGTTATAAGGTTTGCTCTATAACATCCCTGTCACAAAATCTCAGAATAAACATTCATCCTATACAAGTACAGCAGTTAAACAGAAAAAAACAAATCATCAAACCCGGCATGACTGAGAACATACCAGAAGTTTTATGTACTCAGAGATATCATCTTATTAACTGGTATTCATTTCACGAGTCCTGGGTCTTACCTTGATTCTCTTGAGCAGCCACTGCATGAGTCCCTGCTGAGCAGCTTCGGTGCACAGGCCAGGCCTAAACTCCGCCATGTTTTCTATGATGGCTGAAGAAATTATGCAAGAAACAAAAAAATTCATTAACCTTAAAATTGTTGGACCAGCTGAGAAATGTATCCCTGAATAACATTGTTGAACTGGACTGAGGGGACGCAGGAAGTTCTGGCCTTAACTATAGTTACAGACATATTACTACATCATGTAGGATAACCATTAGAAAAATCATTGTCGTTTCTGGTAGTTAATGCTGTTAAAGGTCTCATTCACTGAGAAACCGTACAATACTTGTTCTTTTTGTTCAACCAACCATCACCTGTATTAACCACAGAAAATAAATAGGCGGGGAAATTATTAATTTAAGAAACAGACAGTTTCTTCGATGTCACAGGGAAAATTAGCATTCACGTCCTTGCGCACCTTAGCTTGGGACCACCCACTGGAAGAAGAAAGCAGAGCGCATCCCAGCTAGAAGAAGCTAACCATTAGCAACTCCACAACATGATGGAACATGTTCAGGCTTGTGTTATTTGTGGAGATAAAACATCAACGTTGCATTTTTAGCTGAAAAAAAAAGAACGAACGAAGGCGGTGGAAGAGTCGTGTTGCTGTTACCAAGTCAGAGGAGAGAAGATTGCAAAACAAAAAACGTGACTTTTTAAATTTATCAGGACAGAGAGTTTTAAACAGAATAGCAATGGCTCAGTTTTAATTTCAACAAGTTCATCTACATCAACTTTCTTTGTTTCTTGGATGAAAAAAACACCACAACATCACGCAATTTATGGCAGGCGGGGATTCAGACACCAAGGTGCACCGGTTAGCTAGCAGGCTAACAAAGAGCTAACGTGTCTCCTCAGGAGAGCAAAAATGTCATCAGGTTGGTGGTATTCTAAACCAGAGAGCAAAAGCAGAGCAACAACCACTTGTGATGTGTGCATTCTGGGTATTGGGTACATACATGCTGGCAAAGACACAGGTCCATGATACGCAGGCTTTAAAAAAACTACTCGCTTTTAGCTTTTCCCTTCAGGCATTGCCACAGCAAATCACCGGTTCCCAGTCCCAGTTTGCCATCAAGTCCCAGTTCACAGCGGCAACTCGGACAAAAACACAGAGTCAGCCGACAGAAAAAGGTATGTTAATAAGCAAAAAGATAATTTGCAGATGGACTGTAAAACATCTGGGTATCTCAGTCACCTGAAGCACCCGACCTGCCCGCTACAGCTACAGGTGTTGTGCAGGGAAAAGTTAGCTTGCCTGCCACGGCGCCGTGTGACTGCCCTTACTCAATACAGGTGCACAATGAGGAAGTACACAACTTGAAATATGAGTAACTGTGCTACTTTCAAATATTTTCATAATATTAACACTTTAAGTGAAACTTTTAAGGACAACATGGATGTGTTTTCCCTTTTTCTTATTTTATTGCTTTCCTTTGGTATCGGCAGATACTCAGAATCAAGGCAAGGCAGCTTTACAAAGCACATTTCATACAAAGAGACACTTCAATGTACTTTCCGTTGCATTCCATTAAAATCAAGTGACTCAGATTCGGATTGAGTGCAAAAACAACCCTGATCGGAACATCCCTATTGCATTTCATGAAAATCAATGACCAAGACTCGTAACCCAGTTTTTCACAACCCACTCATCTGAAAAACGTTTACCCTCTGAAACAGGAGGGCCAGAGCTTTTTTTCCCTCAGAAAAACTCACAAGGCCTTCATTAATATTAGTGACCACTGCAGGTACATTTAAAAGAAATAAATGAAGTAGATTTCTAACGTGTTTGATAATCTCAGTTTTATTTTTCCAACCACTTAACCCAGTGTCCAGCTGTCATTTGGTTATGAATTGCACAGACTGATTTAAATAAATACAGAAATTGTTTGGCCTACATCTTCTGTTATTATTATAAATTTTCATTTTATTTATCTTTAAGTAAAAAATCAATGTTTATCACAGAAACCATGATATTTTGCCATGTCGCCCATCACTTGGGTGTCTGGTTTATCTCACCATCATTCTGATCACCAGGAGAATTGCTATGAATGAACAAGAGGGTAAAAGATCTGGAAGGTTGAAAACTGGAATCAGACACCAAATCAATATTGACTCTAAAAATACAAACAAAACAGAAAACTCGTCATAAAATCTGGCTTCTCTCTTCTTGTAATTTTTTATTTTATTTTATTTTTTGTCTCATCTTATAAAGTCTGTGCTTTTTACAAACACAAACTATTACTTCTACTCAATGCTTGTGCCCTCTGGAACACTTTATTACCGCTCTTGCTGATCAAATGTGGATATTAAAACCCTCCATCAGTCACAATTAAATACGAAAGGGTGACAAATATCTGTTTATGAAGAAGGCTGTTTGGTTCTAGCCCCGTTTCTTCTAGAGATATCATTTGAAAGCTGTCGCTGCTATTTATGTCTCCATCAGGACAGATTGAAGAAAGGAAACGGGGGTGATTGTGGGATGGTTATGAATTGACAGGGGAGCTCAGAAATGACTGAAAAAGAAAAGCAGAAGGGTGGTGAAAAGGGTGGGAAGACATGCCAAAAGATGAGGAATCCAAATATGAGCAACCGCAGAAGCGAGTGAGCAGATACCAAGATGGCTAATAAAGAAAGAGAGAGAGAGAATATAAACGAAATTAAACAAAAGGCAGCTTCTGATAAATGGGCTGCAGATGATAGAGAAATGACGGAAACAGAGGGGGAGATTGAAGAGAGAAGTGCAGAGAGAGAAAAACGAAGGCCCTTTATCAGGAATTCAAACAGAGCAGACAGACAGCATCCTGGAGGACCGCAGCCCCAGAACAGAAAGCAGCCAAGGCAGACAAAAGGCTTATTCAAGCTTGGAGAGCTCCCTTGATAACTTGCTCTCTCTCTCTCTCTCTCTCTCACTCTCTCACTCTCTCTCTCTCACACACACACACACACACACACACACACACACACACACACACACACACACACACACACACACACACACACACACACACACACACAAAGCTTTAGACGAAGCACAAGTGTTGCTCCCGCATTAACACAGAGCCAAAAACACACATCTAAACAGCCCTCATGACACTTTGCCTCAATCTGGCAACAAAGAAAGAGAAATCATCTCAACAGTCATTCAGCATAAAAAAGAGCCGAGAGGCTGAAACTCTGATTTATGTGAGGCTAAATACAGAGGCCACGACTTTCCAAACTCTCTGCTAGTCACTGCCCTCTCCTAGACTCACAGTTGTGTTTAGCTAAAGCATTAACTATACATGTGATCTCCTCAAAAGGCTATAATTAGAGCTGTAAGGAAATATAGACCCACTGAAATGTCGCGATATTTCCTATTATGATACTGACCCAATATTTAAAATCGGTGCATCATTTTTTTATTTTTTTGAGATTTTACAGGTGAACATTTACTGCATTTATTTTGTGTGGTGCAACTCCAACTGGTAGGTGGCAGCAGTTTTTTTTTTACCACCTTCATTCTTCCCTCGCGGGCCCTTCGCTCAGCCGGCAGGGAGCTGTTGATCGTTCCACGCACTAAGTGCAGGTCACGGGGGGACCGTGCATTCTCTGTGTTGGCACCTGCACTTTGGAACCAGTTGCCTTTGGTGGTGCGTCAGTCACCCTCATTGGGGTTTTTTAAGACTCGCCTTAAGACCCTTTTTTTTTTTGTCAAGGCTTTTCAGGATTAGCAAATTTTACCCGGTTCTGATGCCCCGGCCTCTTAATATTTTTCTGGATTTTATTTTTTGCTTTTACTCTCCTCTTTTAATTGATTTAATGTTGGTTTTACGATTGTTTTATTTTATTCTGATGGTTTTATGTTTTTATTGTGTTGTGTTCAGCACCTTGGGCGTCTGCATTGGTCGCAGAAGGGGCTTTATAAATAAATGAAATGAAAATAATGGAACAAGAACTCGCAGTAACACCGGAGGTGTCTTGGAAGCATCTGGCCTAAGTTTTCTAATTAAAATCAGTCTTAAAAAATGTAAATATCGTGGCAAAAACCATATTGCCAGATTCTTGCCAATACACACCCCTAGTCAAAATACATATCTAATTCATATCGATAAATAAATCCAAGATTTTAAAATGTGATGCTATTTGAACTTGGGAATCTCCAATATTACACATTTGATCACATCTGTGGACAAACACAATCCTATCTTTGAGGTCTGCAGCCAGTTTTTTTTTTTTTTTTTTCAATTTTATGGCCCAGGCTTTGTTATGAAAAGAACTGCCAGCTCTGAGACCCTCAAAAGGTTGACCAAATTGGGTGTAAAGACAGAGAGAGTTGTTGTAAGACCCAGGATCTGAGTACTTTAAAGTCTTGCTCACTGGAAAATCGTTGTTCATTTTTTAAATACGATTGGTCTTTTTAAATACGATTGGTCACCAAGTTTGACATGCATGCTGAAGATGAAAATAATTTTCAACCACTTTCACCTGAATTAGCTGCAGAAAGGAAATAGATGGAGAAATAATTGACTCAGAAAAATACATTTTTGTCTTTATCAATGAGGAAAATTGGCCTCTCCCACCTTGGTTTGCGACTAGAGCTGAGGAAAATAATCAAATAATCGATGCATCGGGATGCGGACATAAACGATTCTGCATCGTGGAAGAGTACGCCATAATCGATTATAGTGGAATATAGTTTTGTTTTTTTAACGACGGCACCAGCGCAGATCCAAATCTGTCAGAGTGAGTCCCCCACATTTACCAAGTGGTTCCACCTTAATGTGGTACTGCAGGGCTGAGCGCTAGAGTTGTAACCTGAGACCGAACCGGAACCGAATCAGCCCGACCGGTTCTGTTGGATTTGGGCCGTGAATTATGTTAATTGAGCGGGTTGTCATGCGGCTCGCTCCGCTCGCTCGATCAGCGACTGAGAGAGAGAGAGAGACACTGTCTGCTCACACAAGAGAGGATCGGAGGACGCTCCTCCAAACACGCATTATTATTTTCATAATTTAATTATTGTTTCTCCTGGAAGCGCTCAGTCAGTCCGAGTGTTGTGATGTCGGGAGGTCCGGTCTTGGGGAGGGGGCGGGGTCAATGACGGCGGCTGCAGCGTGGTCACCTGTCTCTTTTATTTAGGGACACAGAGAAGTTAAAAGGAGAGATAATTAGAAGATAGAAGTTCTTGTTCCACTTTATTCTTTTGTTTCATGAAGATAAACTGATGTTAAATTCAGCTTAAAGAGAAATTGGGAGGAAGCTTTGGTTCTTTTTAGGTTACAGGAGGTCTTGTTTCCTGTCTGCTCCTCCAGAGACAGCATGGACATGAGGGTCACATGGTGAGGGTCCCACAGGACAGGTTAGTGGAAAGGTTTGTAGTTAGCTGGTTAGTGACGGGGATCCATCAGCTGGGTTATTTAATCCTAATCCAGCCCACAGCCTTCTGCTGGTGTTATTATCAGGAAGAATAAAACACACATCTTAAATATTAATGGAAGTGTAGAATTTGTTTTATGTTTTATTATTTTCTGCATCAAACAGAACTTGATTCATTCTCCAACATTTCAGAAACGAACCACTGGGTTCAAATAAAATAAACTAAGTCAAACATTTCATTTGGTTTTATTTCTGACACCCTTCAACTGTGGCATAAACATCTGACTCTAAAGCTGCTCAGAGACATTATACACTAATATATGAACCCATTATGTGTTTTATTATTACATTATGTGTCCTGTAGGTTCGCAGTATTTCTTTAGATTTTGTGAGTTTTTGAAAGCGTGTTTTTCTCAGCCTGAGGCGTGGTGTTGAACGAGTGAACGGATTGTTTTACTTTGTTAAATCTTAAATGTTTAAAATGTTTTGTCCTAACCTGTTGTGAATGGAGAGCTTTTGAGGGATGGCAGGTTGTGTCAATTACGTTTTTGATTAAAAAAAAATAAATAAAATAAAAAGCCATTATTTGACATCTTCTATTTATCGATGAAAACAAATCGATATGAAATAATCGTGATGCATCAGGATATCGAATGTAATTGAATCGTTGACCCAATAATCGTAATCGAATCGGGAGACAAGTGACGATTCGCACCTCTATTTGCGACCACCGAAGGTTGTATTGATTTTGCGGCCAGGAGAGAGCAGAGTGCATCTTAAGCCGGGCGGACACTGCATGACTTCCTCTCATAGCAAATCTCACGACCCTGTTCTCAGACGTGACCCGACAGCTCACACTGTACATCTCGTAGCAACACACCGGACCTACAAATATGCTAAAAATTGCAGCTTTTACACAACTCATCGGACTTTTCATTGTGTCGTTATTGAGGTCTGTTGTCCACCGGGATTTCTGTAGGATGAGGACACACAGATTTAAGGGGGTTGGAGGAGGAAGACGAAAGAAAGTAAAGCAATGTTTTATCAGTTTAATTTGACATAAACACGGCAAACACGCTGTCTTGACGATCCTTGTCATTGTGTGCAAAAAACAGTGTATAAATAAAAATAAACAACATCAGAAATAGCTGGCAAGCGGTGATGTTGCATGTTTGCGCATGCGCCGTGGTGGTTCTGGTACTCTTGGTCGCAGCGCCACTTCAACAGTGCGATGCACTCACAAAGGATAAGCAAAAAATCAAAGGCGGGATAAATCCCTGCGAGACGATTGCTGATCGGGAGCTGGTCATGTGGTGTTAATCGCCTCTCGTTACAAGGGATGCAACAATACCACTTTTTCCCAAGCCGATACCGATACTTGGATCTGAGTACTCGCTGATACTGATTACCGATACAGATACTTCTACCACACAAAAAAATGCAATGAATTGGAATACAGATTTTATTTTCTTCTGTTTTCAATAGGAAAAGGCTGTGAGGTAGATAAAAAGTAGTATAAGTGATCACAAAACTAAAATATTAGGTGAACAGAAATGACACGTTACAGTGATGTCATTTTCAAGCAACTGCATTGGTATCAGTTACTGGTATCTGTTAACTTTTAACGATACCAGTATCATATCGGTGCATCCCTGCTCGTTATCCCCTGTCTACTACACAATGCTCAATGGAAAAGTCGCCCCAATCTTGTAGATTCTTGCACGAGGGGAAAATCGGCTAAAAAAAAGTGAAAAAGTCTCAGTGTCCACCCAACATTAGCAAACAGAAGCTAACATTAGCATTAGCTATTTCACTACATGGCGGAACACATTCAGGCTTCTGTGACTTGCAGAGAGAAAACACCAATGATCATTTTTATCCAAAAAAGAAGAGCAAACGGAGACAGCAGAAGAGTCGCATTGCTGTTAGCCAATCAGAGGTGAGATATTTGCATATAATAAACAATATGGAGTAAGACTTGTAATCCTGTCGTTTCCAACTACTCACTCCTCCGACAAGCTTTAAGCCCCTAAAACAGTAGCACAAGAACTTCTTTATTCATTTATTTTTTACAGAAGGCATTTATTCAGACACCACAGCATATTTATTAAAAATAAATAAATAAAACTAGTAAATTATACCTTTAAAGTGCCATGGTGCACCAAGAATTATGCAATGAGTTCTTAGAGCTAAACCTGTAAGAATACAAATAAAGTTGATATATTAACTTGTATGCTGTCAAAATAAAACCGCACTAGGACTACCTGTCAGTCCAGTGCCCAGAACATAAACACCAGCTCCTGGACACATTAAAAACATCACTCCCTCTAGATGGGCCCATTACGTTTCTGCATTAAACAAGGCCAGACTTCTCAAATGCTCAGAATATTCAAGTGAGCTATTTTTATGCACGATGCAGTACTGAAGTTAAAACTCTGCAGCACTTGTCTTAGGCAGAGTGTGTCCCAGATTCTTACCATATATTTGTCTGTCAAGTTTAGAGTGTGGATGTCTGCAGTGATTAAAACACCTGCCAAACTAATGATATCTGCAGATTCGTATGCACATAAATATGGTAAATTTGGTTGATTTCTGCAGTAAAGGGAGAAAATACAACTGCATGTAGAAAGCAAACTTCAGAAAAGTTCAAATGAAAAGCCTTCTTGCTGTGAGGCTACAGTGTAAACCAGTGCAGTGCTGTGAACAACACAGTCTTAGTTTTAAATATTTATTGTGCAGTATGTTCTAAACAAGAGAACTGCATAATTTTAAATGTGGCATTATGAGTTGCAGAGAAACACTGCAGCAATGTGACAAACTGTGCCATATTTCACATCTGGCACTTGCTTTATTTGAGTCCATCTCAGTGATCTAGGACTCGGTTCAAAAAATGGGGAATGTTCGGACGCAATGCGCCAGCTTCGCTCAAATGTGCTCTGCGTACGTGGGAAGTGTGACAGTGAAATAGCTGTAAAGAGATTCTATCTGGGCATTTCAATAAATCCTTTTAGGACTGCAGAGCTGCAATCACCTACAACATAAATATTTTAAATGATTAAAATATTTAAAAATATTAAAAGCAATCAAATAGTCTTTTTTTATTCAACACATAAAGACACGTGGTTAGCCAAATTAACTAATATCAGCAAACAACGGAATAAAATTTTACCGCATTTTACAAGTTGCTGGCTAGTAGAAGCTAACTGTTAGCATAGCAACTCCACCACACAGCAGAACTTCTCCAGGCTTGTGTTATTTGTGGAGATAAAACATCAATGTTGCAGAGTAAACAGAGTCAGTGGTAGAGTCGTGTTGCTGTTAGCCAATCGCGGGCAAGATGTCAGAAAATCAGGAAATAAGACTCCAAATCCTGTCGTGTTCCACTCAACTCTGATCTGCTCTACTTCTACATCCTCAAACTGGCGCTCCAGAGCTTTTCTCCCTAGAGACAAGGCATTCATTCCGACTAGACACCGCCGCAAATGTATTAAAAATATGAGTAAAGTTGACCTGTAATATGTGGAAATGACCATTTTTAACAAAGTATATTCTTACCTAAAGTGTTAAAGATGCCATCAGCTTCCTCTTTCACTTGTTCATTCAACCGCTCCATGTTCTGCACCAGCAACGCCACCACCTGACCCTCCAACTACAAAGAAAAAAGGATCTAAACAGAGGACTCTGGAATGTTTTACACTGGAAAAAACAGCAAACAAAGTTAAGTACATTTAATTTTAAATACATTTTTAATTAAATTCTAGATCCTCTTTTAAAATTTGCAATATAATAGTATATAGATAAAAAAAGACTTGAAAAGGGAAAAAAGCTACGGAGTGATGATTATTTTTCCACTCAAGGTTTTTTTTAGCAGAAATTTGGACATTTTCACTGAAGCTCCGACAGGAACCCAGTATTATCACTCAAGTCAAGATTGGAAACTCGTAACCAAACAAAGATTGTGGAGGGCCTGCGGCCTGGATGAAAGCACTATAACAGATGAAATAAGACGAACAGTCAAAGCAGATTTATAAGCCACAGAGGCTGCTGCGAGTCATTTTGATTTATCTTATCAAGGGTAACACCTGGCCTTCTGGCAGCAAGGACAGAGGGGCTGCAGGCATTACAGCATGGTGGAGACAAATGGAATCAACCAACCAACCTTGCTGCCCTGAAACGGTTTACCTGTGATGTAGCTGTAAAGAACACTGAGGTTATGGGTGCGCCATTGCATGCCAAATGGACTGTGTTTACATTTAACCTCCATCTCAAGGATGTTGCAGACCCACCTGTCTCTACCGTCTCACAGATAGACAATTCACACGTAAATATTTTCTTTTGGTCTCAAATAGGCATTTGATGCATTTGTAAAGGTCTCATTCTCTGATAAAACAGTGCCATACTTTTTTTTTTTCATGTTTGAAATATGATCGGTCACATTAAGTTTAATAAGTATGCTCAAAGTGAATATTTTCTTCAGCCCCCATAGCCTGCATTTGCCGCAGAAGGAAAATAGAAGAGGAAACGACCAAATAAGAAAATGCAGTCTCTTCTACGACACAGGGAAAACCAAGTACACCTGACTGCACCACGCAGAAAGGCGCGGCGTCGGGCCAGGCGTCAGACCCATACCATATTTGGAAAATGCAACACTTGCATTTGGGAACTGAAGGGGGCGCTGTCAGGTCAGTTGTCAGACCCATATGAACTACGGCTGTTACTAGTTTACAATTGTTATACAGTTCTATGATCAAATTAAGCAAGATAAATGTAATTTGCCATGTGACAAGGCCTGAATTTATTCCCCAAAATGAAAAGGTTCCTTTCAGCAAATCGCTGCCAAACTAAATTTTTTTTACAATCTGTGGTAGTCTGGTGTCATTATCATCTGTTGTTGAGAGTGTAATCTCTTCAGCCATCGTCTGTTGGGGTAGCAGCATCAGAAGCAGGGACATGAAAAGGCTCAACAGCCTAATAAAAAAGGCTGGTTCTGTTCTGGGGAAGACTGTGGAACCACTGGAGGAGATGATGCAAAGAAGGATTCTCCAGAGAATCTAGAAAATGATGGACAACCCTGAGCATTCTCTTCACAAGACTGTCCAACAACGGAAGAGTGTCTTCAGTCAGAGCCTTCTTCAGTTTCGCTGCAACACGGGCCACTACTGGAGATCCTTCCTGCCAACAGCCATTGTAATATACAATAACTCTTTGATGACTTGATTATTATTATTATTCTGAGCTACTACAGCAATCAATTTCCCTCTGGGATTAATAAAGTATTTTTGAATTGAATTGAATCTGACTTTTGTTTAATTTTACACTCTGCTGACGCCGGTTCGACTCTAGGGACCACCCAAGGGAAGGACAAGGTAGGCGTGCCTTGGCTAGTAGAAGCTAACTATTAGAAACACCACAACAAAACAGAAAACATTTGGGCTTTAGATATTTATGTACATAATGCAGCTTAGTTGGATTTTTTACCAAAGAAAGAAGAGCGAACAAAGCCAGGGGAAGAGACACGGCTGTTAGCCAATCAGAGGTGAGACATTTGAATATAATGAATAATAATGAGTAGGGTTCATAAACCTGATGTTTCCACCCCCCTGACTCCATCAACTAACTTAACTACTTCCTGAAACAGGAGTGCGAGAGCTTTTATCCACACAAAAAACGGCCCACAAGGCCTTCATTCGTACTAGTAAGAGACCACAGCAGATTTATTAAATAAAAAAGGAATGAGACCTTTAAATCAAAGTTTTCACAAGAAGTTTGGGTTTAATTAAAAACGGCTTAAAACAAAAATATTAAACTATTGTCGTATACACTGCATTACAATGAAACACTCTATGGTAGCTCTCCATTCGTAACTAACTCGTAATTAACTAACAAACGCTAACCAGCGCTAACCAGTTCATGACGGTAAATATTCCATAATCCTAGAAAAAGATGATCCAAGCAACGGTCTAATCTTTATCCTTTCACTCTGAAGTGTCAGCAGTAGCTTTACATATCATATTTGCCAGGAGGTCCCGATAAATCTACAAATACATGCAGAATGTCATTATGAAGAACTGGCTGAATACCTATAGATGGAAAATATTTGAACAGACAGCTCAGAGGTCCCCAATATATCTGAGAACAAGAGTTCACCGTCAGCAACAAGACGAGCTGAGCTCTGATGAGAAGTCATGGTGACAGCCACGAAGGAGCGGGCTTGGTTCTGTCCTGCTTTAAAAGGTAGACCTGCACATTATTGTAGGTTGACCTTTGTGTGTGTCATTGTAAATGTCAGAGAGCGTAACGGGATATAAACAATGTTGATGTCCCACTCTGAGGGCGTTTCCCTGCTTCAGTGACAGCATAACAGGATTAAACTACAAAATAATACTAATAATAACAAAAATAAGTTGGAGACTAGTGTCAAAAAAATCGATACCTAGATATAAATCGATATTAAAAGTGGTATCTAAATTAGATATTCCATCCCTGTGGTATCGATATTATGGAGTCTCATATATACACAGCCTTCTTCAAGTACACCGACACGCATGACAGCCAGATGCCGTAAAGCAGCCTCCGCCTCCCGGACAAACAGAAGAAGATGTCGCATGGCTACACTGCAATTTCCCACGCGAGTTGTCTCCGATCCAAGTTTTGTTAACAGTGGCAACAGTGAATCCGGGAGGCGCTTCACAGCCCAACTTAATCAACAACACAAAGAGCAAAAGTGCAGTGTGGAAACACTTTGGATACAAGGCTGATGAGTCGGGGAAAGCAACAGACCATGACAGACCCGTTTGCAAGGAGTGCTACGAAGAGATCGCTAAGAAGTCAAGCAGCACAACAAATTTGGCCAAGCGTCTGAGAGACCGACACCCCAAACTGCATGATGAAATGAAACAGGTGTCTAAAATTTATTAAATCTAGTAAGAATGTGTCTAATTGCACCAACAAATTTGAGCTCACGTATTAGTATTAGCTAAGCTAGCATACCAAGTCCAACACGTAGTTGTATATTCACGCTTATGTGCTTAAAGGAAACTCCCGTTTATTGCAACCTGGACTTAATTTCTAGCATGCAGTACGTTTGTTTACTCACGCTGACAACTTTGGTGCTACTTGGATTCCCCGGGGTATTTAGATCCGTCGGCGAATCGCCATCAGCGTATATCCATAAAACGGGTGCGGAAGGGCACCCATGGTGCAGCCTCAAAATAAGACATTATCTGCACCAAAACATCTCAATGTCGAAAGGTTTTGTTAGGAATCATTAACGTGATTCCCCTGTTCGTTTGGAGCGGGTCTGGGATTTCTAGGTGTAAACAGACTAGCCGCGGCTAATCTAACCGGCGCTTTTAATGACGTCACTGCGGTGCGCCAGTCTGTTTTTATTAAGATTACCGGTAGATGTACCTTTGTCCTACTGTGGAGAAAACTGTTTTCTCCCTTTATTGACCAACAGAGTTGTTCAAAAGTACAGAACAAAACATATGGCATTACAGCTTATGACAAAAATGCACCTTAAACAGAGTTTAATCAGCAAAACATCACTCTGCAAATAGTGTGTATATAGTGAGACAATTCATGATTTAAAGTGTTAACTTTCGCCAGTTTTTGTATGCACATTTTAAAAAATGCTGATACTTGAAAAGTTTAAGCACTTTGTACACTTAATTATTAACATTTAATTTTTGCAATATAAATTGAGGAATGTTAGTTTTTGAATAAACTTGTTCAATAAATTGGTGTTTTTAAATAGTGAGAAGCGAGAAAAAGGTATGGAGAGAAAGTAAGTGAGAGAGAGAGAGAGAGTGAGAGAGAGAAAGATCGAGAGAGTGAAAGTGAGAAAGACAGAAAGAGAGAGAAACAAGAGAGAGAGAGATAAAAAGAGTGAGAGAAGGAGTGAGTGAAAGTGTTCAAACCTCCGGGCTTTTTGAACCCAACCTTTAGGAATAATAACCGCCGCCTCCGGTGTGGGATATTTTAAATACATGCAGTTCAGTTACATGTTAACCCTCCCACTGTCCTAATGGGTGACCCCGCGAGGAAAGTTGACCATTGAGCAGGGTTGATGGTTTATCCCTTGGGTCCATGTGGAATTGGTGAGGAGTGAACACCACCTCACCCCTGCCACGTGGACCTCAAAGGATAAACCATCAACCCTGCTCAATGGTCAACTTTCCTCGCGGGGTCACCCCCATTAAGACAGTGGGAGGGTTAAAATTATGAACACGTTACACAAACACAAAGCTTTTTATTTCTTCACAGAGACAGTTTAAAATCCAAAAGTACGCCAGAGCAAACAAAAGTCCTGCTTTGTATTCGCTGGATAAGTTTAAGATTCATTCTCCTGCGTCTCATTTGGATGCAGAAGTCCAGAAATTTAGGTATTGATCCACCAAAGGCTGTTTCATCGATATCAACGACTGATGTAAACTTTCAACTCACCAGAGCATCTATGAGCACCTCAGCACCCTCCTCACTCTCATGGAGGGTGTCGATATCCGTCAGCTCCTGCAGCAGGTCCACCACAGCTATGGCAACATGTGGCTGATGTTCAGGACAATAAGACAACACTACTAGCATTAGCGTTAGCATTAAACTCACTAAAACTATCAATCATGACTCCGTATGGATTGAAAATGGTCATAACTCTCCCTACACTGATGGGAAGTGTTTGAATGTATGAAGAAAAACACTTTTTCACCATCGACTGTAAAGCCTCCTTTCCACCAGACCTGAAAGCGTTGCAAAACGTACTTCACGGTTCTTAGCTGCCATTATAGTGGACGGGTTCCTTTCCTCCAACAGCAAATTGTAATGTTTTGAACGCCATCATTCCATTTCGAGTCAAGATTTTAGACGCGTTGCTTCCAAAACACGTTGTAATGAATAAAAAGTGTCAATTTTCACTATCGAATTGACACGGCATAACCTTTCATGCACGCCAGAACTGCAAAGTCAAGGTTACGCCAGCTGGAGGATCCAGACGCAAAAATCAACCTTTTGCTCACTTATTGTTCTTCATCGCAGACATAAACAAACTGTCGAGGTTTCCCGCAAAAGCCTCATCTCTCTGCTAAAAGTCAGACTGCTGGATTCCTCATGAACAAAAGTGAATCCACATGAATCCTACAAGGCTTTACAACTTATGGGTTAAATAATCATATGTGATGAATGAACAAGGTGTCTAAATCAAATGTTTGAATAACCTGTGCTTAAATCAATGAATATGAAATGAATATCGTTCTTACAATGATCCATTTGTATCACAAATCAGTGTGTGTTTGCTTTAACAAGTTAATCATGGTTTACACTCATATACATCTTCATAAGATTCAAATTAAGGTTAAGGTTCACCTCAAATAAGCTTAAAGATTCTTGATTCACCGAATTAAGAATCTTGAATCTGAAGGAAGGCGTGGCTTTCTGAGGGACGTCGGAAAACACCCAGAAACTTGTCAAATTCTGATTTGCCAGAATACGCCAGAAATCATAACACTGTGGTTTAATCAAACAGGATTTACTTCCCGATTAATTCAGTTTCCAGATGAACCCCGATTCGCCCAAATCAGGAAAGAAGCCTCTTTTGAAACAATCTTCTTTGGCCTTAAGTCAAAGCCTCTCTGCAACGCTGCGGCTGACACCAGACAACCGGCTCTTCTAAGAGCCAGGCCAACATCAACCTTAGATGCAAATAAGCATTCCAGCTTTTGGCCTTCACCTCGAGGGATCTCAGACCGGACGGGTCATATCGGAGCTGTCTACGGGTTCCTGATATCAGAGGTTCACTCCACCGGCAGTGCCCATCAACCCCCGGGATCGAATGAGAACCTTCACACCAAGGGTGCGTAGACTTGGCACGACAGATGGCGTCTGATGCCGTTTTAAATAAACAACTCTCTAGTTTAAAACAAACAACAAATTCGTTTACACCCAGATTTCACAATTTCTCTCGGATACAAACAGCGGTTGCTACAACATCCAGCTTCCATCACAACACCTCACATCCACCATGTCACATCTCCTTATGCACATCATTAGTTTAGGAAAATTAATTATTCATTTTATAAACTATATACGGACTCTGTCTGAATTAATACGAAGTGTGTTTATGGTCCCTGAATAAGCAAAGAACCCTAGAATCTTCTGTTTAATCATTCAAAGATCAATCTGATTGATTATTTCATATTTATAAGGAATAATCACATCTTATTGGTCATAATTAATTTGTAATAATTGCTACGTCAAATCCCACAGTTTAGATCGGGCCAGACAGGAAGTAAAACACAAAAGCAGTGTAAAACATCTGGAAACTTTCAAAATAAAAGTCACGTGCAGACAAAGGTATTTCTTTTCCTGTGGAACCCCCCTGGCCGATAAAAACAGCACAGAAAAAAGACCTTTTCGGATACTTGCAGCTGTCTTTCTCCTTGCGTGTTATTGAGTAGTCTTCTGAAATTACGCGTGGTGTTGTAATTCTCCCGAGATTTGTTGAATTCACAGGACCGACAGCCCCCGTTTCACGTCTTAAAGGCTCAAGGTTGGAAGGGAGCTTGCAGTTAAAACGCCACTATTACGTTACACGCCGCTTTCACATTCAGTGGATAGGAGGGGTGACTCAATAAAAACATTGTTTTTGTTTATTTGCACAGAGGAATGCTGTTTAGGATCAACAAGTTCATCAAATATCTGAAAGGATATCAGTGTTTTCATGACCAAGAAGGCCCAGCAGTGAGTGGACGGCATTGAGCTCCACCAGCAGGTGGTAGAGGTCCGGCATCGTGGCGATCACGTGCATTTCTTGGATGATGTCATTCAGATCCAACTCAGACTCCATGAACCTGGTTTAAAAACATTAAAACGCAGATTGTATATTAGCATCTTTATACATTTACCTTTCAAATCCCAGAAGTCGCTTCACTTGCGTTTAGCATGTTCCTACAGAAACTAACATTTAATTATCGTGATCTTTAAAATGAAAATGGACAATTATCAATTGCCTTACTTTTCCGGATTGTCTGGAAACTTAATCCTCAGTTCCTGGTTTTTGTACGACCTTTTCTCAAAGGTCAGGATCATTTTCTTCACTGAGCTCTCGTCAATCGGCTCTGCCTGTTTGATTAGCGCAGTCGGCGGGAAGAAGGGGAGAAATAGAGGGAAAAGAGGAATGGGGGAGAAGAAAAAGAGGCTTTTATTGAAGCAGCTGTTTGTGACAATAGCAAAGCGCCATCGGGGCGATCTTAATTATGTGAAAGGAGCAAATGAATTTTCTTCAATAGGAGGAATCTAAGAATGTTTCACAGAAACGAGAATGTGTTTGACCTCCTGATGGCTAAATGCCTTAAACTGCTGGAGCGATAATGACCAGTTAGGACATGTCAACTGCCTGACATTATGAACAATGCAGCACTTTGCTCTCAAGTACCTCCTGACAGAGTGAATCTTTTAAAAGGGTACAAAGTGGTATTATAGGAACTAAATTATAGATGTGCCGTTTTCAAACAGACTACACTTTATGGTATAACTGGAGCTAAGAATCCCAGAGAAACTCTTCTCATGCCCTCTTTCCTGTGACAGTGTTGGCAGAGAAAAGAATTAAATCAAATGCACCGCTTTGCTAGTCTGGTAAGCCATCCTACATGTAAATATTTAGTCTGGTCACAAGCTAATAAAGCCACCCCGCCATGGAGCTGAATCTACGGTTGTCTATCAAACTGTCGTCACTAGGACTAATCAAAGCAATGAACAATGCAACGCGCTCACCCCTATGGATGTCAGTCAATGAGGAAGTCCACCACACAACATCAAAGAAGCAAATGCATCTCTTTTTATTAAATAAATGACTTAAAGTGACGGTGTGTATTTTTCCTGGCGATAGGGGGAAGTACATACCTAAATCATTGGAAGTAAGCAGTATTTTTGTGTTGGAGTCAGACCTTAACAACGGATGCCCATTAGGGTCAAAAAGCCCTGGTTAGTGCAAACTTCAGCAAAATAACAAGCACATCAGACTCCCTTTCATCACTGGCAACACGTGAAGAGGTAAATGTGCAAAACAACAACATTTAACTTATTCACTACCAGCTGTTTCCTGATCAGAAAAGCCCTTCGCTGCCAGCGTTCTTCAGCATTTTTACTGTTTTTTTAAGAGTCATGGAACGTTGTGCACTAGGATGATGTCGACGCCAAAACTAACAAAACAAAGAGGAGACCCGCCTCTTACATCAGGAAGTTGTTACAAAGCTGCCAATATTTGTCAACAACTGGGCATCATTATATTTATCTTTAACAACATTTTGATGGATACTTCCAGAAATGAATGGTAAAAACTACACATTGTCTCTTTAAGTACATCCATCTTGTCGAGTCTCAAAGAAAGGCTCAAGTCTAAATTGTCCAAAGTTGATGCCAAGGCTGTTTCAAACGAGCACTGTTCCCTAGCCAGCGGCCAGCGCCATCTTTGTTGTTTTTCTCCATCGCAGCTCCAGCTCTAAGCCCACCTAACAAACGTAGAGCTCTGTGATTGGCTCGACACAAAACTGTTCAGGGCAATGATAGATGTACTGAGGCTACGATAGGGCGTGGCTTTGACCTGCAGGGTTGCAGTGATTAGCCGTGAAATGCTGCAGTTAACCCACCATAAAGACGTCTCCAACACCAAAAATAAATAAGACATTAACGGACCAAAACAAAAGTGAAACTGAACTGACGCACGCAGCAGAACCAGCTTCAGGAACCACCGGGACTGCTTCCTTTCCACATGAGAAACACTTGAAGTCTCCTGTGAGGAAATAGTTTAAATTCTCAAAGCTGCTAAAGGAGAAATTTAGCACGACGGCTCGTCCACCTGAAGAGCTGGCAAGAAAAAAAAGCTGCAACATCTCCTACATGTTGTCATGTCTGAGATCATCAGGCAGACAAATAATTAGAATATGTTAGTGACTGAAGGGATTTAACAGTAATATTAGAACAGTGAACATTACAGTGAACGACAGTTCATTTAGTAATTTTGTACAATTCCCTGTCTACAATAAGCCAGTATGGCAGGCCATTTTAACATTTAATCAACAACCCCTCTTTGTAAGTCCAGTTCTACATAATACAGCAATATAATTTATCCATGTCCAAATAATATTCTTACTGGTGAAATTGTAAAAGAAAGATATAAACAAGTAGAAATTATATTTAAGGATACATAATAACTGCACTAGCAGGAATTTAGTATCCTCTGGTTAGTTTTTATCAACAAGGATTATTAATTTAAAGTGAATTTACTTAATATTAATTATTAAACTACAAAAATATCTAAGACGTTCAATAAACTATGGATAGAACGATTATTTCTGCTCTGTCTAATTCTGGTGCATTAACCCTAACAATATAATGGTTAGATTACTAATTTGCTATTATCTTAATAATTCTAAATTTGCTGCAAGAAAACGGATGAAGCGTTCAGTTTAGGCAGATTAACACAAACAATGTAATAAATCATGCTTCGCTTCACTTAAGTACACACCCTTAACGAAAAGGACCTTTACCCACCTCAGGTTCTTCCCCATCCTGATCCATCAGTTTTTCCAAGATCATCTTTCGGTCTTCAGTTATTTCTTCAGTTTCTCTCATCTCCGCTCCTCCTTCAGCCTCCCTGTATCTAGCTAGCTCCCTCGCTCCCAGACCTTTCAGCTGCTTCCCTCCTCTGGAGTTGTCGTCTTCTCCTGCGCCTCCATCACCGTTCCTCAGGCGCTTGGCTCCTCTATCAGGCTAAAAGATGAAAATAAATGGATATAAGGTGAAAGTGAGTGGAGTGAGTCTCACATTGTTTAAATTAAAACAAAACTACAAACTTTGGTCAAAAAATAAAACAAAGAAAATGTATCTGGGCTGAACAGGATTTCTGAAAATGTATTTTCTTTTGTCTAATTGGTTTTTACTTATCAGAAAACTTATACCATACCAAATGACAGCATAATATGTAAAATTATATAATAAACAAATGTAAACAATCAATTTAATCAGGTTAATGGTTACATTGCCAAACTGTAATTCACCATTTAGTTACAATAAATATGTGACCCATACATTTAACCATCTTATTTTGGAATAGCTACTTTCCTTAAAATATATTTCTCTGCAAAAAACGAAGAAAGCCATTAAAATACTTCTTATTTTCAATTAATGTGAAATAAATATAAAAGAAAGCTAGCTCCGCTCCTTCTCTCGGGTGATGCTTGACACTATTATATGAAACTCCTTTGTATCAGGTCGTTTTGCTGTCTCTAAAAATAAACAAGCGTTTTCAGGAATATTTTAGGGATAAAAATCACAAACTATTTTACAATAAGACACAAATATAACAATAAAACTGTTAATAAAAACAGAAAGCTGATGCAGAGGATTGCATGTTAGTACAAAGTGTCATAAGTGATTATTTTATTGTTCTTTGTGGACAAAAACAAATAAACATAGACGTAAACACTACTCTACACAAAGGCATCCATTAGGAAAGCCAGGGGAGGCAAAAATAACCACGCAAACATAAACTGACGATCCTTAGCCTTCATTAGCTAACAAGCTAACTGTCACGTTTTTCTTCGATGAGAAAAGCTAAACTGCTCCATTACCATGGAAGCGCAAGGAATGGGTAATTTACAGACTCGTAGATCTCCACACATAAATAAATAAGAAACTAATCAGCTTTCTGGATTTTATTGGTAACTTTTAGCAAGGCTGTGTTGCTACATGCATGCCAACAGTTAAGAGATTACAGAAAGAGCGTTCCCTGCGTTGACTGCTTGAAAAAAATACATACCTGATAGTTCAGAAGCTCCCCGACGTCCATTTGTTCAGATTAGATCACTTCACCGTAAGATAAATGCACTTGGAATTAAGAAAAGAACCCTGCACGATTGGCTTTTAGCTAACAACAAAATCTGAACATGCCGGCGCTGTGCCGTAAAATGTTGGCCTGCCGTATGAAAAGAAACACTGTCGTAAAGCAGAAGCCTCCACAGTTTCTTCCTGCGGGGCGCGTGTGTGTGTGTGTGTGTGTGTGTGTGTGTGTGTGTGTGTGTGTGTGTGTGTGTGTGTGTGTGTGTGTGTGTGTGTGTGTGTGTGAGAGAGAGAGAGAGAGAGAGAGAGAGAGAGAGAGAGAGAGAGAGAGAGAGAGAGAGAGAGAGAGAGAGAGAGAGAGAGAGAGAATGAGAGAATGAGTGAATGAACCTTTGGTATAAAACTAGCTCTTGTTTTTTTGTAAAAGTAAAACAATAAATTCGTGTGTCAGAAATGTTTTTCCAAGGCCTCCAGGGCAACCTGCTGGCTTGATTGTCACCCGCAAGTCGCTTTGGACAAAAGCGTCTGCCAAATATATAAACATAAACCAAGCAATTAATATGGAACTGTAATAATAATTAGCTTTTTTTATTCCTCTGTATCTAAAAGGGTTATATTACAAAGTAAATCAATGTAAGATTGTACCAAACAATCTAAAAATAAGATTAATATCTAAATAATAATTATGAAAGATGTAATGTTAATTCAAACATATGGTTGTTATGCCAGCCAAATGGTTATCGCTTAGGATCAATTTGGTAATTGTCTGAATCTAAAATCAGCACATCTGCTTTTTGCTTATTTTATTGCACACTAAAAATACAATACAATGAAGTATCAGAAATTGACACCAGCCTGCTTATTATTTTAATATCTTTACATGTGCATGAACTAATAAGCTCAGAAATCAATGTCTGTGCATCATAACTATGCTACCTTTGTGCTTACTTAATAACAATATGAGCTCCTTTACCAATCCTCCTCAAAGCCACATGTATGAAGTTCTGGTCCAATGGGCTCAATTTTGCTGCATTCATAACCGCAGACATTTATATGCCCGGATCTCTTACTGTTCCAGACAAGCAGAAAATCACCCCTTCAGTGAGAAACATTGTGAAATGTCTGAGTGGAGAGCAGTGTCGACGCCTCTGTTGCCTCTCCAGTCTCTGGCCAGTGATCTGTGACAGTAGAGCAATAGAGACAACATTCAAAAGGAAGGCCACTGCCAAGCACTGAAGCTTGACGTCCAACCGCACGAGGGGCAAGGGGAGAGAGGGAAAGGAAATCAAAGCAAACACGAGTAATCTAAATGCTTAATAGCTCAGTTTATGAACAATGCAATAAGTTGTTACTCAACTATTGTTTTACTTTTTTTTTTTTCAAAGATGACACCAATCACATAATGAAGATGGTGTCTCAAGATAGCAAGTTAAGTGCAAATGCATGCAATTTGCTCGGTTTCTTGTATAGGAAACTTTGTTCTGATTGACTTAATGAACTGACCAGAATTGGAATGTTTATTATGTGAAATACCCTGAGACGACTCTTGTCGTGATTTGGCGCTTTGTAAATAAAATTGAATTGAATTGAATTGAAAGTGTAAAACTGTGAAATATTGGATAGAAACTTTCATGCATTCAATCGAAACTTGCGTGTAATCAATGGTAACTTACATGTATTTGATTGAAACTTTCAAGTATTTGATTGAATCTTTCATGCATTCAATTGAAACTTGCATGTAATCAATGGTAACTTTCATGCATTTGATTGAAACCTGCATTTGATAGAAACTTGCATGCATTTAATTGAAAAGGTTCATGCAATCGATTGTTACTTGCATGTATTTGATTGAAACTAACCTTTATTCAGTTGAAACTTGCATGTATGTGTTTGAATCAGATTCAAATCAAAACATCAGGTAACTGAGACTTAAACTCATTTAGGATGAATGTACCGATTGTAATTTTCCTCATCACAAGTGGTTTGATGTGAAATTGTCACAACAGTCTAAGCAGTAAAGTGATGTTAACTTGTCACTCATGATGCAAGGACCAACATGCCGACTTCAGAATTCCAGTTGTGTTTAACAGTGGAATTGATGACATCATGGCCACTATTTATCACTATTTCTTCAGTTAAACTACTTACATAAACTTCTCTGTTACGGGAATAAAGTTGGTCTCTGTTAAATGTTTATATGCTGCTTGTGGCTTTATTTTATATTTGTCCTCAGAAGTGAAGATACGAGATTCATCCTCTAAGAGAGCCACTTGACTGCAATTTTTAGACTTTTGACTAATCTTGTGGGTATTATTGCATTGTTTTTATACAAAATGAACAAAGATTGATGTATTAATCCTTCAGCCTGGAAGGAAATCTCTCTGTAAACCATATTTTAGTTCCCATTTCTTCCCAAAAAGTCCAAGAATTCTAGAAAAAAATGGGAATGTTTTTATTTTTATTATCATTTTTTATTACATTAGATTTTACTTTGTGTTGCCCCACCAAAAATGGCAAAAATGTAGTTTTTTCTTGCACAGTAAAGCATTAATGTTCTTATGATGTGAAAGGTTTTTCTCCTTATAGTTGAGCCCCATTGTACCCTGAAGCTTTTCATTTATGCTCAATTTAATCAATTTGGCCTATTTTACTTTTGCTTTGTAAGATTTTTTTGATTGAGGAATTTCTGAGTTTAGCAAAACCTCTGAATCTGCAGGATTTGTCAAATGTAACAAATCTTTGTTGTTTCGCACAATAATGAACACATTTCACAATCCCTACAGGACCCAAAGCTTTTCATATGCAACCATCTGCCTAATGACGTCTCCTCATCATTTCCCTGCAGAATTAATCCGAGGCGATGCCGTAAAACCATTTCCACACAAATGCATCCTTCAGTATTGTGCCATTCAAACTGGAAGTGCTGATTGCATTAAATTACAATCTTATTGTGATTGCAACATTCAGATCAAGATATGTGTGCTCAAAATTCAGGATAGCAACATATTTTGATTTATTTTACATCAAAGCAGAAATAAGATGAGGAACGATGGTCCTCATCACTTTTTCTCATTAAGTCAAGTGGCAAAATCAGTCCACCATCAACACTTTCACTCATTAGGAACCATTTAGTTAGGAAACAAAAGGTCTTAGAACATAAAACCTTAAATCCTCTTGTAGTAAAATATGTAAACAAAAATATGTTTCAATTCAGTCGTGATGGTTTACAGTCAGAGGGGAGGAGACAATAGCTCGACTGTTTGCTGCAGATCTTTGTGTTCAGCTGGGACCATACAGCTGGTGAGAATACTTTCCTGGGTATGAAACACAATTATTTTTGGTCCTCTACCACATTAGGAATCTAATACACTAAATGAGTTGCTGCACAGAACCATCTGGCTGGTCTGAAATAGGAGACGCTCTTTTATAAGGAGCCACCATCTCTTTATGTTGCCATTTTGACCAGGGGTCTGATTTTGATACAGACAAAAAGTAAACAGAGAAAATCAGGTGAATGAATTAAATTACTAGTGACGTTGTTAATAACCGCTCTGACTTGAATCAGATTAAGAACTTGAGTTCCTTCAAATATTCACCTGCCACAATTTTCCCTGCCGTCACTTTTCCCTTTCAAGAAATGACCCCAGGACTCCAATAGTGGAAACACGACTACTATATCAGAGGAAAGAACTCTATAGGAGAGGGTCCAGCGGTGGTTACCAGAACCAATGGCAATCTTCTTTTTACTGAACTTTTAAAATGTTGAGTTCGAGTTTGTTTTGCTGTCATACACTGGTGTTTATTGCTTTTTGTTGCAAAGTGTAAAATTAGCATGCAAGCATTCTCAATTTGACTCATCTTTCTTGTAGGAAAATAAAATGAAGCCATCTACAACAAATATGGATGGAACACCAAAGTGTTCAAAATCAAATAAATAAACATAGATAAATACCACAGTAATGTCATCTAACCATGAAATTGGTGCCTATCTCCAGCGGTCAATGAGCAATCAGGTGGGGTACACTCTTGTCATGACTCGAGGCAAGTGCCTAACCCAAGACATGCAGAATCAACACACATAGTCCAAAGCAGTAAAGTAAAAGGTCTATTATAATAAGGGTAACTGAAACAGCACAGGGAAGTCCTGTGGGGATGAGCAATACGGCTCGAGTCTCTGAGGTGCTCAGGATAATCAGGAGAGGAGGGGAAGCCGGGAAGGACGCTGGGCAGAGGGTGAGAGGTCCAGGAGGGGTGAGGTAGCAGAGGGAAAGCCAAACAGAAACGGGGGAGGAGGATGGGACGTGATGAGTATATTCCAGAAAACGAAGACAGCGAGGGTGAGTAGATGATGAGATGATCCTGAGCGAGACAAAAAAACAGGCGTAAGGGATAATCCAATTCCAAATCCAAAATACAATCCAAGGTCATAAATCCACTAGTCGAAGGCGAGTCAAAACACGAATTAACAAGATCAACGTTCAGAGTCGAGTGGCTGGTGCTACCTAAACTGGTGCAATCATCCGGCAAAGTGAAGTGTCTCCATCCTCCTTTTAAACCCGCGTTCCTGATTTGAGAATCACCTGCAGGTGTTGCTCCCTCTGCTCCTCACCTGTGGAGAATCAACTCAGACTCTGGTGAGAGGAGATGGTGTGACTCACCTCTGCCCAGGAACATAACAACTCTGGACAGAGAGCCAGTCCATCGTAGCGCGTGAATTCTCCCCAATAATGCAAAATATTATTGAGGCATTTTTACGTCATTATTTCTGTATTTATTACATAATGTCTTTTACATGAAGTCAGCTTTAATTTTACAATAGTGTTTTTTTCAGATGGCTGATTTGTTTCACAATTACACTTTTCACTAGAATGTCTTAATCTGTCAATCAAGACAAACAGAGTGGATCCAGTTTGTGATTGGCTGCTTAATGAGTCACAGGCGCACTATTGGAGCTGGCGTGACAGCGGGCCGCCATCTTAGATGGGTCTCCATTTGCCCCTAGTGCATTTATTTCTACTGGGGAAGGTGCTTACCCAACTAAAAAGCACATTTTATTATGTTTTTCCACAAAATCAGACAATAGTTAAAATATTAATATATAAATATAATTGAATTAAAATTCATTCAAATATAAAATCCCATTAGGTAGGCTAGA